AAAAAAAAAAAAAAAAAAAACAGTGGACTTCACAACAGTGGACGCAACGTAAAACGTAATTAAAGATTAACTATTGTTGTAGTTGATTAACCTCACGATACGTGTTCAACTGTCCATCGAGGAACAGGACGGTGCGTTTATCTGAGAAATTCACTGAAACTGACACAGTTTGTTGTCAGTTTTTGCACAAAAGGTAGACTAATACCGTTGAACGACTAGTTTCAAAAGCGTAAAAGTCATCCATTTACATATGATGAGACTATGGTACAAAAGGTATCACGCTTTCCCCTAACATACATATTCTACAATCCTTTGTGTCCCGTATGAATTCAAATATTTGCAAAATAACGACTTCGCAATGCGACATCAAACTTTCAGTGTCGCGAAGTTCTATTCTATGTTTTATATTCTATTTCTACTTTATTTAGTGAATTTTTATTATCTGTATATTATAAAAAATTTACTTCAAGTATTATAATTTTTTTAAGTTTAATATCGTATTTAATATTTATAAATTTTTTTTTTAGATTATTTCCATATATTTTTCCATCAACTAGACATTTATTATTTAATTTATCTTTATCTTCAACTTTACGATTAAGATTCTTTTTATTTTCCTATTAAATTTTTTATACATTTAGTTCCTCACAATTTTATAGTAATTACTCGTAGTTCAAGCAAATTTCTCTTTTCTATCGTTTCTAGTTTTCTGTTTTCTACCTTTTTTTTTTTTTTTTTTTTTACTCTTCGATTACGGATGCAAATATTTGAAATACTTGCCAGCCAGATTTCTACCTTTCCTGTAAGTAATTTCCACTTTTCCTACAAGTAGATAGTTTGTGAATGATCGTCTGTAAACTGGGGCATATACCCCTCAGGAAAAAAAGTATAGTTTGCAATACCTATTATATCGATGTATGATAATAGGTCGCATATATGTATGTACTTACGTAGGTCAATCGACATTTCACGACGTTTTACGGCGTATGCGAATGTCTCGAAAATTGTTCAACGCGTACTTACAATCAGACTGACAAATTTCACGGTGCAAACCATGTTGCGTTGTATAATGTGTACATTTCCGCGAGAAACAATATTACAAGATACTAAAAAAGTTTGGGGAACTTGTCGATTGACTTGCGAGAAATGTTTGACCGATATATCGTACGACTCGATGTCCTCGTGCCATTTTGACAGCCAAATTAGCGAAAATACGAGGACAAAGGTATACATTGTACGTACATATGTGCACAGTATTGTATTGCAGTACATGCATACGTGTGCCGCATAGCATACGAAACATCCTCGAAAAGAAAGAGAGACAAATGAAAAAAAAAAGAAGTTGTAGAGATTGATGAAAAAGCATGCCTGATTGTTGCTCGAACAGTTCAACAGCTTCGAGCAGCTGTGCATCAACTTCACCAATGAGAAGCTTCAACAGTTCTTCAATCACCACATGTTCGTCCTCGAACAAGAAGAGTATACGAAGGAGGGCATTGAGTGGGCATTCATAGACTTTGGCATGGATCTCCTCGCGTGTATTGAATTGATCGAGAAGGTACAAAAAGACAAATGAATCGGACGAAAATGGCAACGGACCAAGCGACGGATCCAGCCATTAAAAAAAAAAAAACAGTACCAAACACAAGGTTGAAAACAAGAGCGCAGCCTAAAGGATCCACCTTAGTGAAAGACCACAGTTGGATCTTTGACACATACACACGCAAAACTTAACGCTTATTACCGGCAAATTACTGCAATAGTGATCGTCCACTGTTTTCTTGAGTTAATCGCAAACGTTACATCTATGTATCATCTTTTTTCCTCATTTTGTATTTGTCCTTTTTTCTTCTTCTTCTTCTTTTGAATCGTGTGGTTTCGCGTTCCAACGAAAAGCAAGCAATTTTTATCGTCTCGCTTAGGCATTTCACCACCACCACCACCGTGCTCATTTTCATTCGTCCAACTCCCGTAACATCATCATGGATCGTTAATCGAACTTCTTCCCTTTTCTCTCTTTTATACATAACTACAAACAATACCAATCTCCTATATTGTTGTTACACTATACTTATACGTGCTAGTGTTGATTTTTTTTTTTTTGCTCAACGACTCTTTTTGACTTTGAAACGTTCGAACACTCA